GAGAGAGAGAGAGAGAGAGAGAGAGAGAGAGAGAGAGAGAGAGAGAGCGTGCATAGGTGAGCAGAGAAAGATCGTTCGGGTTCGATCGTAAGTTCAGCCGTCCCGTGGATCGCGATATCCTGAGAAAAGAGAGGACCCCGGAGAAATGTCACGCAGCCGGGGAAAGTACGTGTGAAATCAACGTGGATGTTCTCACGCAGCGTGAAACTGAGCGGTTAGTCCCTGGAAGTCGTTGCCCCGAAGATACCCGACAGCTTAGCTATCTTTCTGATCGATCAACCCTGGGACCAACTTCTGCTGAGGATGAATTTTAATTCTGGGGTTGTTTGGGAGCCCTACATTAAACTAAATTCATTATTATCCGCCAACTCAACTATATACGTAATGGTTAACACATTGACTACTAGACTAATAATCGTGAAAATTCCATCGAGATTCAAATTTTATTTCTACACAATTAGGAACGATGTAATCCAACATTTATGGTAGTATTTATTTTCGTAACCTGTTCAGAATTCAACAATCCTAATTATCTGTCTATTATTTTGAATTTACCAACTCTAGAATAACTTCTGTTGTGGATAAATTATAGTTCTGGGATTATTTGGAATCCCTAACTAAATAAACTAAATTTGGAAGCCCTACTAAATGACAATTTTAATAGAATTATCAATCAACTACAAAAGGATTTTTTAGATTAGTGATTAAATGACAATTACTTTTCCGTTGTATACTTTATTATAAGACCTTGAAGATTCATCGCAGATGCGCGATGATTGCATGCAATTTGCCGTGAATTTATCTCAAACACTCTCTGTCTGTGTTAAGCTTGCAATAACTAGCATTCAAATGTTTTGACTATTTTGGAAATTTAAAGCACATTCAAGAAAATATTGATACTTTCTTAAACTGTAATATTTAGCATCGTTTTCCAAATTTAAAGGAATTTAAAAACTACTTTTTACAAACTATTTTTGCGAAATGTAATCTTTCCATATAAAATCTTATTCGTGATATACATGCATACAATTTTCCTAACTGTATCACCAGGTTACAATAAAATGATAACATCCTTTATGAAGTAAAGCCAATTTAAAAAACATAATCATAAATTTATTCAATTTTCTTATTTATTCTAAAATACTGCAGGTTATATTACACAAATATAACATTATTGCTTTTAACATATGACAAGTTGATTAACTAATTCCATAGAGTCGAAAGCGGAATTCCTCAACTTCTGCATCTTACATATTTGGAACAATTGAATCCTCAAAAAATCAATTGCAATTTCGAAACTAAACCTTTACTAAAACCCACTCGAATTCTTTTAAAAGATATCTGTGTAACTTCATAACTCCGCGTTGACTCATTGTAAATTGATGCCGTTACGGATAAACACCTCCCACTCGGTTTTACCATTAGCATAGATTCCGTTCGAGAATTAGTCTTTTTTGTCGACTGGTAGACGTTCGATAACATCGCGTATAATGCAATTTGAATAAATAGTGAATAAAACCGAGTGGTTGGACGGATGTCGCAGCATGCGTAGTCGACGCAGGATGTGGACGTGCAGGCGCAAGATCAATTAGCAATTAAGGAGCCGGGTGACATGATCATTAGTCTATCTGCAGAGAGAAGTGGGGTTCCATGCTAATGGGCGCCATTGGCGAGTGGACGTGGAGCGTAACACAGCTACTCTGCCTCCGGTACGGGTACCGATACATGCATTAAAGCTCAGGATGCTCGGCGCTAATGAACAATCATCGCTATTACGCGCTGTCGAAAGCATAGTCAGGCCTCGATAAAGCATTCTGCCTAAGAACCTGGCGATGATAATGCACCAACATATGGGCTGGTTCGAAAAAGTAATCCTGGACGTCCCGATGGAAATTCAGGAAGCAACTCCTCCATCTCCTTCGTAGAAGAGACAGACTCTTTTCATTTTAATGCATCCGCACTCTCAACTGGTTACCTAGAAGAGTATTGCTTTGACAGGTCCTAACACTGTGGAAGTAGTCACGAATGAGTGTAGTTGGAGGCTCTGGAAACAGTTGTTACGTCTCTTCATCCATGAAGGAGATTTTAACACTGTGGAAGTATCTACTTAATTGTGATGGTAATCCTATATTTGCTTTTGGTACACGTGTTCCAATGGTTAAATAGCACTTCACGAGACAATAACACGATATACTGGATAGTTCTATAATTTTTACACATGTACAATTTTTTCAAATTACACATGCATAATTTTCTCATCACCCAATATCAGTGTGTCATTGGACCTCTGAAGGAAAAAGGATACGGTTTAGTATCAACAAATATAATAGCCTCAAATGATATGATAGCAATATGATAGCCTCAAATATCTTATTCGGTTAATTTAATGGAGAACGTCGGTCACGCTACAAAGAAAATGACGAAGCCCTATTTTTCTCGAATATCAAAAAACGTTACGACTAGACTCTGATGTTTATGCAAATTCAAATTTCTACAGATATATGTAAATAAAGAAATTAAATTTAAATTAAAGGATGTCTTATTTTCTAAACCTTGTAACATTTATTTCATTTTTCCAGTTGCTGTGAATGCATAAACTTCCGCAATCTAGTTACGTCTAGTAATCTAACGTCAGCATTCTTATCAGGTGCCAATGACGCATGGATGTACTACAAGCGCACACAAACACGATAACAGATCATGTCTCGTATATGTATATTGAGTACATATAATATTGGTTCAAATATAGTTGAGATGATTAATGATGACGTGCGGTTAGTTAATGCTGGGGTTTATCGAGAATTTGGTTTGATAAAATAAAAATAAAAATTAAATTTCAACGGTATGCGTTTTTCAACACGCCCGCTCTGTTTATTAGCTAGTTCAACTGTATCTTTTTGAATTTATTCAAGGAAACTTCGATACAATCTCCTACATCTCCCTCTCTCTCTTTCTCTCTCTCATTCACACCCTATCGCTGCCCAAGTTGTTACGATATAGCATCCTCATCTCGAGTCGTCGATGTTTCAACTAAGTTTCCGCTTCTCTATCTCATACATACTTCCCTTAAGTAGTCAGCTGTGCTTGACAAGTATACTCGTCATCACCCGACATCACCTACATATATGTAGGTGCGCGCTCTCAAAAGGAGGCGCCACGGGTAACTGGTTAAGTACAGTCCACTTATTATCTGAATCCTACATACATACATACCTCGGCAACAAGGAAAGGGTTAAACTATCCCCAATTCCTGCGAGGTGGTGCTCGAACACCCCAGTCCTCCTCTCTTACCTCGTCTGCTCAAGTCGCGAGTCCTGGTCTTCGACGCTCTGATGCCCTCCTCCCCTCAGCCCCTTTCTTTCTACGACGTTATACTTTATCGATCGTTAGGGTACGACATTGCTCCGGCGTGCTTCGTTAAACGCGAAACGTAAACGTCAACCTAACGACCGGTGGCAGCCGCTTTAAGCTTTTTCTCCGCGCGCTCTAACCCGTAGGGTCGCCCACAGAGAAGGTCGTGCGGACGTTCTTACGACGTATCGGTGCACGACGTCCGACATCGTCCGTGCCTTTTTACGATTCTGGGCGGTTTCCTGGTGGGAGCCGATCGGCCAGTGACAGCGACCGCGGAGTAGTCGAGTACCCGAGTTCCAGGGGTTAACGATACCCGCGTGGGGGGTTGAGGCGCGGGGTTGACCGTCGCTAAATTGGTTCCCTTCACCGGTGGAGATTTGTGGACGGGAAGAAGGTTTACTTTCGGATGTTAATGGCGCTGCGTGGGCCGACCGAGAACCTCAAGAACTAGCCACGGAGCTTTCAACACGGGGCGAGGGGGAGTAATTCTCCGCCATCGCGGCAGTAAAACTTCCCTGTTACCGAGATCGAGTAGGGTTAGAGCAAGTTTGTTAAGCAAGCAGGGCTTGTTAAACTTTTCTGTGCTCGGAAAACAGCAAACCGTTCGGTGATTCAAGTATCAGGTAAATATTATTTGAATTCTGTTCGAGGATGTGAGCATTCGAGTGTTTTGCGTAGTGATGAGGTTATAGATATTGATAGTATTTTAATAGTGCAGTGTAAATAATGAATTAATGTCATTGGTAAGAAGAAGTTCTGATCTTACGACGCTTTGTCCTAGATTCACTAAAGCAGGGTTGAAGAAATTGTGGCCCAAACCACGATTTTGGTTTTGATATGATCGTCTGGCAGTTGGTGTATGGTCAAATTGCTGTTTTCTTATGTATCCTCGTTCATTATATGGATAAACGTTAAGCAATAAATAGGGTTGGTGATAATAGTAATATACATATATTGTATTAGGATGAATAGACATGTACTATACTACTCGTTCAACCAGTTACCTTTATTATTGAAGGAATCTCCATCAGTGCAAGAATGGCAGCTTTTATTTCTTACAACAGTCGAGGTTCTACCTGGTTCTACCTACCTTCATAGTGTGAGAAAAGCTTATGGAAACTTGACCAGTCAGTCAAGTATTTATCAGCATATTTAGCCAAATTACAGATCTACTTCAATAACTGGAAGTTTTCGGACAGATCTACTTCAATAACTGGAAGTTAATGCTAATCGCTACAAATACACGATGA